TGGGTTGGCAGACCCTACACCTGTTCCCTGCCCCACAGGTGCTGTGTAGAGTCCACTTGATTAGAGACAAGGAATGGGGTCTTCTGTGGCCACACGTTTTCCAAATAAGCAAACCTTAATTGCTTACGCATCAAATTTTGCAAAGAAAACTGTTAGCCTTTTTAAAATGGAACTTTTATTTTATTTCTTTTATTTTATTTTTGACTCTTGAGTGACAGACAGAGGAAGGGAGAGAGAAACATTGGTTGTTGTTCACTTGTTGATAATTCAATGGTTGGTTCTTGTATGTGCTCCTACCAGGGATCACACCTAAAACCTGGTATATTTGGATCACCCTCCAACCAACTAAGCCACCCGGTCAGGACCTAAATGGAACTTTTTAAAACTTTCAGACTTTACCAACTTCTTAAACACGGACCCAGAAGGAAATCTCACTTCTTTTGTTCATGTGGTGTTATTGTCGCCAAGAGCAGTGGTTATTTTAGGAGGAGATGTACTGGACACACTGAGAGATGATGCACTAACTGGCCCTCGCTGTGGGTCCGGTTTTTCTCCCACTTCCTTACTGCTATCAGTTTACCTCATTTCATTTAGAATTAGCAGAATACTGTGAAACCAGATGTGATAGTGTTCATGCAAAGAGCAGGTTTGTTGTCTGAGTCAGTAGATCCCGGTGATGACATTCAGGTGATGACATTCAGTTCCGTAAACAAAAGGTCACCTGAGTAAGATAGTTCATTCGCACACTCAGAGTGGAGAATTCCCATTTTCCAATATGATCAGAACATTTTAATCCAGAGGTTTTCACCTAGAATGCGTATCTGAGATGTGAATCTGTTGCCCCTGCCCCGCCTCTTCCTGCATGGTTGCCTCACCCCCTTTTCTGCAGCAGCTGAAGATGACTCTTTCCTCAGGTCGTCTAAATGTAGCAGCAGACACATGGGACTAATCCCTGGGTATAAGGTATGAGAAGAGAGAATTGAGGAGAGTTCCTTTTAAAGTCAGCTCAGAGAGATCTGTGAGAGCGTGTTTTGTGCATGGTAAACGTGACTGTTCCTGGAGCACAGTTTAGGGGACAAAAAAATATAGGGCTTGTTGGGTGACAGATGGCCGGTCAGCATGGTATAAAGCATGTGTAACTTTGAGGGGCTGGGATAAGGTCATACAAAATAACCTAAGAAGTAACCTGTGTTATGCTAAATGGAAAAATGTTAGCTACGTCTAAAGTGGCCAGAATTGATATGTATGCTCTCCACCGGATGGAGTTTTTCTAATCCCGGGGTGGGGGGGGAGGGGGGAGCTTTTTCAGAAAGTATTATAAAGTTCTCTTATAGAATGTTGGAATTCAGAGTCCTGAAAAACACATTTTGTTGTACATAAATGGAGGATTTCCACAGTGTGGGTTGAAATGAAAGAAATTCACTGCTTACAGTGTAACTAGAGATGAAGACAGATTAATTCCTGTTCCCTGGGAAGTATGTGTGTCCTAATTGACTCTCATTGAGCAGGAATCAAGGGAAAAACTGGTACATTAGACAGCCCTTTAAAAGAAAAAAGAATGTGTGTGTCAAAAACAATAACACCATAAGCCAGTGGTTCTCAACCTGTGGGCTGCGACCCCTTTGGTGGTCGAACGACCCTTTCACAGGGGTCGCCTAAGACCATCCTGCATATCAGATATTTACATTACGATTCATAACAGTAGCAACATTACAGTTATGAAGTAGCAACGAAAATAATTTTATGGTTTGGTCACAACATGAGGAACTGTATTTAAAGGGCCAGAAAGTTGAGAACCACTGCCATAAGCAAATTATTTAGCAGAGGGTTAGTATCCCTAATATGTAAAGAACTTCTAAAAATAATGAGTAAAAAAATTCTACAATCCAGTATGAAAATGGGCAAAAGCTATTACCGTTTCAGAGGAAAATGAAATGTATTACCTCAAATATATGAAAATATGTTAACTTCACTCACAATAGAGAAATGTGTTTTCAAACTGCACCAAGATACCATGTCCCACATATCAGATTGGCCAACGTTCAAAGGTTTGCTAGCCCAGCCATTCGTGGCGAGGCCCAGGGACAGCAGCCGGCTCTCACCCTCATGCTGGGGGGTAGGTGTCACCACCTCGCAGAACTGCCAGTGCATCTTTCCTTGCACTGAAGAGATCCTATCTAGGAACCTATTCCAAAGGTAGGTAAGGGAAATAGAAAGAGGCCTGTGCAAAGGCTGTTTATTGGGGCACTATTTGCAATACAGACTAGAAATAACCTGAATGCTCCCAAGCGGGGACTGAGTGAATAACAGGGTCTGTGGACAGAGTCTAGGCTCTATCTATAATAATCTATAATAATAAAAGCATAATATGCTAATTAGACCAGACATCCTTCCGGATGTCCTTCCTTCTGGACAAAGCCGCGGTGGGCAGGGGCCGTGACAGTGGTGGTAGAGGCCCCCAGCCGTGGTGGCAGCAGCGGCGGGCAGGGGCTGCAGCAGAGTCCCTGGCCACGGCCAAGGCCCTTGCATGAATTTCGTGCATCAGGCCTCTAGTTAAGTGATAAAAACCCAAGTGCAGGGCTGTGTGTAGAGCTCTCCCTTGTATATAAGAAGGGTATGGAGGAAAATGTGTGAGTACAGTAGTGTATATAAATTTGCTTGCATTTTCAAAAGAAATAAAGGAGTAATAAATAAGCTAATACAAATGACTATCACTGGAGGGGGGCGTGTAGGGTCAGGGGTGGAAAGTAGATGTCTCTTAATGTACCTTATTTCCACTTTAGAACCATTACTGTTTTATATGACCTAAAAAGAAAAATCAAAGAGGGAAGTGTTCACTAATAACTGAAACAGTTTGAAAAAAATAAACAAACCTAGTGATATATCAGGTGCTGTCAATCTCTCATGCAAAGAAAATACTCATTTCAAGTGACTTCAAAACAGTCTTTGGACTGTACATTTATAGTGGGAAACATTTATATTGTTATTTGAAAATATTCTGGGTATACTGTAGGAGCCAAAATTTTCAGAATATAAGAAAGGGGAAGTATTTAAAGAATTTAAGTAAAGAGTGTATAATATCTAACTTGAATAAGAAATATCAATAGTAGTATGGAATTTTTCTCTTTAAAAAGACCATGTTTCCCAGCTCTGAACTTTGAAAGGATCAAAAGTAAGGATGACTCACTAGCACTCTGACTAGTATTCCGTAAACACTTTCCCACTAAAAGGAACCCCTGCTTGGATACATAGTTGGTTCCCGGACTGGGGCAGGAAAAATGCAAGAGGGAACATCCTGGGAGCTGAGGCCAACCAGGGGTGGGGTCAGAGGACGCAGGAGCGGGAGAGAGGGTAGTCAGAACATCAAAATGAATAATCACTGCAGTGGGTTGAAATCAGACCAATGGCAAATGATCCAGGAGTCCATGATACTTCAAATGAGAAAAACCCACAAAATCAATCGGTCACCTTTGCAAGTTGCTAGGATACATCTTCATTACCCTGAACAATACGGGGAAAGAATTCCACTTTGATCCTGATTTTCTAAGACAAATTGTATTTGAAGACAGTCAGATAGTTGATGAGAGAAAGTTAATCATGGAGAAATCACAGCTAATAAATGCAAAAGGGCCCAGGAATTAGAAACTCAGCATTGTGTAGCAGTTAATGAGATAATGGAGCGAGGCAAGGTCCTCACTGGCTGCTAAATCCATCAAGTAACAATTGGTGGGAAAATTCCCCATGGATGAGGCTATCTTCAATGGAGGAAAGAGGGCAATGAAGCAGCTTGAGATGTTTTATCTTGTTGCAATGTGTTAGTTGAAGAATTTGCAGCAGCAAACAGCAAGCCTGCACCCTGCTTCCCAGAACTGCCCTCAGAGAACTTGGGTGCATCTTTGGGAGAGGGGCTCTTCCCTCCCCCATGACAAAGGGGTGGGGTCCAGTCCAGTCCAGCCCTGTCTTTCCCACAAAATCTTTGATTACCTCGCCCTTTGGAGAAAATGTGGCTGTGCTAGTGGTCTGAAGTGCAGGTTTCCTGGTGCTTAGCTTATGGGCTGATAGTAATCATTACATAATTGATGTACAAATATGCTCATGTATTGCCCATGTGTGTCGGGCCCCTGCCCCTGTTTCACCCATGTACCCACCTCCCCAGGTCCTGGCCCCGCCTCCCAGAGGCCTGCTGGTCTGGAAGGTGCCTCCCAGATTCCTCACCACTCCTGCCTTCTTCGAATCACCCTGAGAGCAGAATTTTTTTAAGGGTCTATTTAAATGTCTTTCTCCATCTTCCAATGAAATTTAAAAAGACACATAACTCTATTACAGAAAGAGAGAAAGCCCCTCCCCACCAAAAATGTGTCCCGTATACCAGTGCAAGCATTACCTTTTACGTTGGTTTAACACACACACACACTAAAATTTTGCATCTCCTTGTCTTCCACTTACATAATTTTTTAAAACCATCATTTCTAGGTCTGTTTTATAGTTCAAGTCGCTAGCTCCTAATCTGTATTTATTTGGAGATGCTTTTGAGAATTAATTGTTGCCTTTTCTGAGTTTTCCAGGGACTTGTCCTGACCAAACATATAGGCATCACTTTAGCCGGTGGCCTTTAGTCTGCTGTGTGTGCTGCTTTCTCTTAACTCCCAAAGGCAATCTCTTTTACGTTTTCTCAGTCCCAAGCAAGATATGTTATACTTCAGAAAGAAAGCAATCTGCCCATGGAGA